AACTCGAAATCTGATATGGAAAGTTATTAGTTGACAGACAGCTTTTCTCGACTTAAGTTGTGTTATAAATTTCCTCTAAATGAAGGATGGCCTCTCTTCGCGGGTCTAAGCCGATCATAAATCTTTAGATGACTCCTCTTCATGGGAAAGCCAAGTGATATATTCTGTCAGCTGAATATCATCCGTCGTGGAGTTAAAATATGGCTTGAAAACGTTAACTGGAAAATAGTCACTCATCGTTGAGCTGAACTGGATCCGTTCTGAATTGGCTCTCAAACCCGTCTGAATTTGATTATAAGATCTGTTGATCTTTCAATATGTCAAATTGGTTTAGGTATAGCTCCATACTGCTGAGTTAAGCAACCATCAACGACCTTTTTTGAAGGTTCTTTTAAATCGAGTATCTTTCGTCTTGAAGTTGAAACTTGACTCTAAAGATGCAAAAATCATATATGCCGGAAAAAAATGATAAATGTGATTGTCTTATGTATGTCTAAGATGTATGCAACATGAATTAGTTTTGGTTTTATCTCATTGTTGTATGTTGGTTTTCTCCTTGAAATCGATCATGCCTCATTTTCTTCTAGGGTTGCTGACAATGTCACAATGGAGTGTTACAAGTTCTATCTGATCACTCGGATTGATTGCTTTCAAGAATGTGAAATACTCCATTATTCTGGCATTATTTACTCTTTCTTCAATAGTGGCAAGATGAGCCTTATCAGCTTCAAGGACCTTTAACATTTGAAACTGTCCTGTTTGAAAATGTTTTATCATTTCTATTATTTTAGGAAAAAAAGAATATAAGAATTTTGTAAAACATTGCCCCTTATTTCAGGCTCACAATCGAATCGAATCATAAACACGAGTTCACAGAAAATCAAAAGAATCAATAGCTCTTTAATGCTTTCAGAGTTATAGCTCTTTGACAAATATCCAAATTGATGAGTTGGCTTCAGGTTGGCCTTTTATTTCGAAGTTTAGGCCACCAAAATGTCATTTTTTTCTCGTTCCTGTTGAACATTGCAACATGCCCCTCTTTCTTAGCTTGGTATTTTAATAGGATGTAGACAAAATGACACAACTAGCATAATCAATTACTATACCTTCTATTTCGGTTCTTGAAATCTTCCATTTGTTCAAGCTTCGTAGACTCCTTTAACAAAGGGAGTACAAAAATATCAGTCAAAAAATGAAATTCCTGAGTGCTCGTGTGAAATTGACTATAACAGGTGTTCTTTAATTCTCTTAGTCCATCTTTATCGAAACTCCTTATTTAGATAAATTTGATTTAATTTGCCATTGTTTGGTTAGCTGAATCTTATCCATAAAACTTGGGCATTTAACCAATTGCTCTAGAGAGACAACTCAATATTATAATCACCTTTATCAGGCTAACTGAAGGGTTCATCTCATCACAAAGTCTTCGACTTGACAATTGCAGTGGATCAAACACCGAATTGTCAAGTATTCGAGCAATGTCATGGTTTGAATATAATATATTCATAAAGCCAGGGCTTTTGAGTTTCCTCTATAACCAATTGCCTTAGTGGAATAGCTCAGCTTTATTGTATGCATATAATATTATAATCTGGGTATACAGATCCAATTTCTTAAGCTTGTTAAGAAGAACATGTTATAGTCTAGGTGTTGTCAAAAATTTTATTTTTAGAGTTCAATTTCCAAGCAACTAGCCTAAACTAGATTCACCTACTCGACTATTCCATCTGTAAAGATCATGATCATCATTGAACATCCTCAACAAAAGTATAGTAATGTCATGCACAAGGGATGCCCCATGTTGTCCTCAAGAAAAGTATGTTTTCAAAATATTTTTAAAAACTATATGTTATATATATTTTCAAAATGTTTTCAAAAACTATATATTATATATATATTCAAAATGTTTTCAAAAATTAGATAATATATATTTTCAAAATGTTTTCAAAAACTATATAATATTTATATTTTCAAAAATCGTTTTCAAAAATATATAATATATATTTTCAAAAATTGTTTTCAAAACTATATAATATATATTTTCAAAAATCGTTTTCAAAACTATAATATATTTTCAAAAACTGATTTTTTAAAAAAGTATATATTATATGTTTTTCAAACCGTTTTCTAAATAAGCCCCGAATGAAAATGGGTGTCTACATGTAGTTAGGGTCAACGTTCAATCGAGTCGAGTAAAAAAATTTCAAGTTATTTAAGTTGACGAGTCATATTTTATAACTCGGATTTGATTTTAAAAAAAATCGAGTCAAGTCGGTTTTATTAAATTTGAGTCGAGAAGTCAAATTTTCGAGTTTCTATTTAAATTTATTTATAAATATTTATAATATTATGAAATTATTTAATTCTAATTTAAATGATATTTTATAATCATATGCAGTACATATATACATTTTTTGTATTTTTTTCATATGTGATTTATATATACCATATAAAGTCAGGAACTCAACTCAAACTTCGACTTAAACTTGAAATTCAATCTACTAATTATTAAAAATTTCGAGTTATTCGAGTTGTATTTTACAACTCAGTTTGAATTTGAAATTTTTTTGAGTCGAGTCGAGTTTATGAAATTACAATTTGAACTCAATTCAAGTCAAGTTTTTTGAATCGAGTCCAACAAAAAAAATTAATTTTTCGAGTCGAGTCGAGTTTAGTTGTATAACCATTTAAGTGTGATACTTTTCAGAGTAAAAAAGTTAGAAAGTTTCACTTTTACTAACAGAACATAAGGATCATAGAAGACAAACTAGTGGAGATTTTTTAGGTCCGTGAAGGTACTACTCGGGGGTTATATTTAGGGATACCATTGATTGTGGGTAAAAATAAAATCGATGCCTATGGCTTCGTGATCGAATGGTGAAACAAGTGAGGGGTAGGACAAAAAATCTGCTGTCATTTGATGGACGAGAAGTTTTGTTGAAGTCAGTGGCCCAAGCTTTGCCAATATATACTAACCTAATGATATGCTATTTGATCCTTGATAGCATGTTGGAGAACATTATATCAATTATTATGGATTTATGGTGGTTGGGTAAAGTAAATGAGGGGTTGAACGATGGTAACTTGGTAGGAACTGTGTAAACCAAAGATGGGAGGTGGTTTAGACTTATGTGTCTTAAAATTGTTTAACTTGACATTTGCTAGGCAAGAAAGTATGAAGATTGCTTTGAAACTATTCCTCACTTTGCTACAAGGTGCTCTCTGTCGAACACTTTCCAACTGGTAGTGTTTTTGATGTAAAGCTCGTTAACAAATCATTCTTTGCAAGAGGGTGTGTTTTCTAATCCATACAAGCCTTGAAAGATGGGTTTTCTCTAGCATGTTGGAGTGGATAGTAGAATCGGCATGCATCCATACGATTAAAGTGAACATGGATTAGACTTTTATAGGGGAAACACATACTGTAGTTGTTAGGGTTATGTCACGAGGAGATTGATTGCTGACCATGCACGTACATTATTAGGCCCCCGCAATGCATATATGAGAGGCACAGGCTTTTATTGGAGGACTTTGCTTGGCCGAGGAACAGGGATGACAGCACATGATATCTGAGGGAGATGCAACTAATGGAGGTGAATAGGTTAGCAAACCCTCAGGCGGACCTTATGTTGATGGTAATGCCCACTCTTAAATTTTCTAGAATTTTAATTTTATTTCTTAAAATTCAAAGTTTTATTCATTAATATATTGTGCCCATCCTGAAGTTCTATAATGTCCACCTTAAAATTTTATAGTATCAAAAAATTTATATTATTAATATATATGTCTACATTTAAAAATTTTCTAGATCACCACTGCAAACCCTAATCTTAACCACTCCTTGGTGGGCCTACAATTGATTGAGGTATTTACATTGATTGATGAGGAGTCACTCGGGTTTTAAAGCTTGCAATGAGAATCCAGAGTCGGCCAAATGGGCTTTAAATTTTAATGATCCTATCTGATTTTTTACAAGCATCCAGATTGCACTTAAATGAATATTTTTAACGATGCTATTTACAATTAAATAATATTGAATCCATCTTTCAAAAAAATAATATTAAATAATTTAAATATTACCTTACAATATCATTTTTAAAATAACATTTATTTCTTAGAAACATATTTTGAAAACAATTTAAACATTAGTCTTAAATTAAACTTATCCCTATATTATGAGCCATAATTGTCTTAATTTAGACTAAATCAGATCCAGTATAATTACATTATATCGAGACTAGGGTTATTCTTGGACGGTTAATCGCATCGTTTAGTCTAAACGGCTGATTAACTGTTATAACATTTTTTAATTATAATCTAATCATTAAGAAATGGTTAACCATTATTAACGGTTCGGTTAAAAATTAGCCTATGGTTAACCTATTACAATTATTTGCCAAAAATTTTCATAGATCATACTACAAAAAGTGTAACACTTCACACATACTTATACCGTTATAAGTGATTAAAAAATATAACACTTAATATATATTTACATCGGTGTAAGTGAATAAAATAAAAAAATCTAGCACTTAACATATATTTACACTGATGTAAGTATGCACATCTCCCAATATCTTAGTACCTAACAATAAACACATAATTATATTTATGTAAGTATGTTTCTATATTTTCAAAGAAATAAAAAGTCAAAAATAATAAAAAAAATAAGTTATTTATATACAAATTTTATGAAATATATATAAATTATAAATAATAGAAAGTTATATTAAGTTATTTGTTTAAAAGTGTAATCAATTAGAAATTTAATTATAAATTTAATTTATTAACAGTTAATCGTTTGTTAAATGCTTATCAAAATTCGTAAACGTAACTTTAATCATTAACTATCATTTTTAACAGTTCGATTAATCAAAATCATTTAATATTAACTACATAATTAATTAACATGTTAAATATAACAATTATACTGAATTACCGATTAACGATTACTATTTTTTTAACAAGCCAATCGGAGACGCCTTAAAGACCAAGCAATAATTAAATTCTTTAAATAGGTTCACATCCTTAATAAACCATGAGTTTCCACAACATTCAAAATCCACAGGATACAACCGATCTCATTATAAGCCCTACCCCACAACACACGTACCAATTGGATTGGCAGAGTAGCTTTCGGCTCACATCTATACCAATCGTCACTCTTTACAACTAGAAATCATATCCATCCTAACCGGTATACCAATTACAGTCTGACACGTTTCACTAGAATGGATACGGCCTTCCAACTTCACCGCAACGTTGACAACTCCGTGAGTCCTCGTACCATCTGCAGCCCGAAGCCGGTAGCTCAGTTGCCTCACTGAGCCCACCGGCGGTAGGCCTATGTCGGCGGCAGGAATCTGGCACCAACCCAGTTGAGCCTGGCCGGCAATGAGCCTTTTAGTAAATAGCCGGAGATATATACAAGAATATCGATTTGCGAAAAAAGTATGATGAATAGGAACATGGAATTTATCACCCCAAGTAGGGTTAATACCACCTTGATCATTGATCCTCGTTTGAAAACCACGGAGGTTCTTGAGATCGGCAACGTTTAACGGCGGCGGGAAGGTGGTGATGGTGATGAATGGCCTGAGACGGCGAGAGAAGAGAAAAGAAGGGCTCTTGAGCCCTTGGGCTGAAACCACCGTCATCTCTAATGTGAACTGCTGCTTACTGTTATCCAACATATTTGTGAGGCAAGGGAAATGAGAAAGGAGAATTAGGTATGGGATTTGAATTTATAGCAGATATCACGAAATGGGATTAGAAAGTATGAAGGAAATTCAGGTGTTGAAGAAGAAGGAAAAGAAGAGATTGTTAAGTGCAGCTTCGTGGTAAAATAAGTGAGAGAGAAGGAAAATGAGGGCTGATACAGATTTGATTAAATGGATTTGGTTATGCAAGTCAATCAAAAGTCTCGACCCATTAATTTGATAATTGTTTTCCACATGACATGTAATAATTTTCTGGTACCTCATCTCTAAGCTCGTGGGAGTTTCGGGAGTAGCTTCCCCTTTTTCCACATGACACGTAAAAATTTGCTGGTACCAACCTGTTTTCTTAATTATATAATGTGCTTTTTTTTTTGATAATTTACTGTGCTTTTCTTTGTCTTTATTGATCACCACCAATTTATTATTTCCTTTTTGTTTTAATTATTGTATTATTTCTTTATAAACATATTAGTAACGTTATGCTTTTTTATTTTAATCAACAATTATTGGAAAATAAATAATGATATTAATGTAATCTTTTAAATATTTTTTTACTTTTTATACAATTTTTTTTCTTACCGTATTATTTTTTGTAGGATCAGTTTAATATAACTTTTAAAAAGATACCTTTTAAATGTGTTGTAAAAATGATTTTTTTTTCCCAAAAGTGTAGTAAAAAGTGTAATTTAAAATTTAATTATTTAATATTACTTTTATAGATTGAGTTTGAATTATAGACATTTTGAATTATAGACATGTTGCAACTTAAAAAATATACAAACTAAATTATATTTACACTTACGTATAAATCATATCAATTTAAACTATAATAAATTTAAAAAATATATATTATATATGACTTATATCAATTTAAATTATAATAAAATACAAAAAAATATAATTATAATAAAAATACATTTTATGTAACTTACTATTAGGGGTAGCAATAGGATGAGGAAAAACTAAAAATAGTAGGGATTCGAACTGATGGAGATGGGGAATAATCGAAATCTTCACTCACAAAGATGAGGATGGGGGAAGTTTTATCCCCGAAGCTCAAATGGGAATAGGGACGATGATTGCTATTTCCAAACCGTAAGGATAACCGAATCGTATATGTGTGAATAAACGTGGAAAACCCCGAAAAATATCCATAGGAATCCCTGATATTTTACAAAATTTTAAAAATATATTTATAATCATTTACCTATATACCCTTAATATATATTTTAATAAAAAATTATATATGATAAGATTGTGAGATTACATGTTGTCACTGTTACATCTCAAAGGAAATAAAATTAAAGTTTAGATCTTTTCTTATTTAATATGTATTGATTTGTTGAGATTGAAAATGATTAAGATTGTACATATATTGGGTGTTCGATTAATATTGACGTTTGAAAATTTCATATTATATATAGAGATCAATTTAAGACAATTTGATATATCTTACAAGTTTTAGGTGTTGTATTGTTTTCAAAAATGTTTGTTTATTTTTTAGGGATATGGATTAACCGAAACTCGCAGGGATCCGTAAAGGGACAAAAAATATTCCCGAAATATATAATGGAGATTCCCCAAAATAGTACCCGCAAGTGTTGGGACGAATTGGGTAATGCAAAACCATCCCCACCTCGCCTCGTTGCCACCCCTACATACTATTAATAATTTCATATATAAATCATGAATTTTATTTATTTTTACATAATGAAAACAAATTATTAAAAATAATAAAATATTTTTTAAGTATGTTAGTATTAAATTATTAAAATAAAACGTAAATACGTAACTTATTGAAGCCCATGCATTAGTCAGGGTAAAATTATAATTTGCTTTCAAACATAAAGTTGAAAAAGAAAAAATTAGAAATTCTAGTTTTTGCGGTTGGTTTGAAACCATTGTTTTTATCGTAAATTTTTATTTTATTTTTTACTCATTTATATTTGATTTTACGGTCAAAACAAACTATTTTAACTAAAACCGATTTTGAAAACATTACCAAACTAGCCCTAAATCATTTTATGTGGACCAACATAGTAGTGATACATATTACCACATTATTTTGTTAAACATCGAGCCACTGAATTTGACAAAAAATTTGTAAAAATACCAATATAAACATTTAAGTTTAACTACTCACCACTGAATCTAAAAACAGAAAAAGAGTCAAACAATTAACCACTTTATTAGAGTATAAATATTATAATTCTGATTATATTATGATATTTCATTTTAAAAATAAAATAAATAATCATCTAGTCCAGTGGTCTTCTCTAGTGTTGTTAAACTAAAAGTAGTTAATCCAAAAATAATATAAAAATAATAATGATTGTAATATCGTTATAAAATTAAAGAGAAAGAACAAGTTACTTTGACTTAAGATTGTTAAGGAAAATAACAATTTGAGACAAAATCGGACATGAGAAAATTAAATAGAAGAAATTAAAAATTTTAGAACAAATAAAAATTAAATGAAAATAAAAATATTCCTTTTTATTGATCTATCACTCGAAAACAGTTGAAGCCTATCGCTCCACAATTTTTTATGACAGATTTTCGGCCACTCCTTAAGTGCTTGAGATCTTTTGGTCGTCTGTCTCTTAGGATAAACAACTTGATGATTAACGAACAAAAGAACAAACTTTCGAGATCATTAACTATTTTTTGCCTTTTCCTATCACCGAAAAACTAGAGAATGAGAGAAAATATTTTTAAAAAAACTATAAATTCTTGAATTCCGAGATATCGAAATTTGTTCTGAAATTTTGAACATATGTTTTTAACCTAGCAGGTTAGTGTATTATTTATAGGGGATTTCCAAGAGATATTTACTATAACCAGTTATCTTTTAATATTCAAATTTAAACAGATAATAATATCTTTTGACTTGAAATATTCAAAAGATATAGACATCTTTTACTATTCAAACTTGAATAGATGTTATTTTAATTTGAAATATTCAAAAATATATAATTATATTTTAATATTCAAAGTTAAATAGATAATAAATATCTTTTAATGTAACATATTCAAAGAATAATTATTCAACTAATATTCAAATTAAAATCATCTTTTAATTTGTAATAGTCAAATGGAATATGAATTTAATTTAAATATTTAATCTGTCAATGAAATTCACTCTTTTTCCAAACAATCTCCTACATGAATGAAATTGATGATTTTATCAAAAATATTATCACACGATGTGGTGATAGACTCTACGATTGATAGTTTCATAAGATAGGTAGATATCCACCTTTGAACCTTCCCTTATGATGGTATATTTACTTTACCAGCTAAATAGTAACACAATGTCCTTGAATTATTATGTCTTTTGTGTAAACGATGATATACATCACACAACTACCTTTTTGACAATAATTTTAGTTTTCAAGGGTATATCCTTAAAGCCATGGACATTGTCTGGTTCTGCAAGAGTTTGAAAGAAATATGTCTAATGTAGCGACCCCACTTCACTCTCACATAGGTGACATATGTTGCTCAGCTTATCGAAGCACACAATGGTCATTAAAAGCTTTGCTTAGCCTATACCACTTTGATCACTATTTACATCATAGGAACGAACTTGGGATGAGAGACACTCATAGTGACTATACATTATTTCTGCAATTAAGTTGTTCCTTTGAACCTAGAACTTAGGATCTCCAGTCAACTAGGTAAGGTTTTTCTTCATATTAAGCCATTAAATTTCATGGGCTTTAGTCTTCTTCCTTTATATTTTTTCTCAACTTAATCTCGATTTAACCCTTTGGTTAGTGGATTCAAAATGTTATTTTTTGGGCATATAAAATCAACAAAGATAACTCCATTCGAGTTCAATTATCTATGATACTATGTTGGTATATGTCTCAACTTACCCTTATACTTGAAATTATATGCTAGTCACAGTATATGCATACTATGGGTACATGTATCAATCATTCAAGAATATCCTCTAAGAAATGCCAAAGCCGTTCAGCTTATTCTCTAGACTTATCTCGACTTACCATTATACTTCTCTTCTCAATGTGAAACATATTAACTTGTGTCGTTGATATCTTGAATATCAAATTCCAACAAGCATCAATTTATCCTTCTAATATAGTAGGATAGTTGTAACACCCATTTCTCGGATACGTTTTCGTACACAAGTCACAGGTGTCACATAACTTTTACAAACATTTCCTTATTTGTAAACCCATAAAAATTTGTTTCAAACAACAAAACATTTTAATATAATAATAATAAAATGTTCGTTGTAACATATTACAAAAATTATAGCTTTAATACATTCCAAAGCATTTTCATAAGTCCAAATACATGCCAGCTAATTATCAAACATAGACATAAATAGACTATGGTTATTGATGAGGCAACCTTTGATTGATGATATCCACTACACTCCTTACTCTACTAGTCTTTACTAAGGTCTCGTCATGGAAAAAAGGTACTTAAGTTTGGGCGTAAAGGTATGTTGACCCCATAATTTATCAAACCATATGAGGTTTTAGAGTGAGTTGGACCAGTAGCTTATCGTTTTGCGTTACCTCTAGAGCTCGAGCGCATCCACAATGTGTTCCACGTTTCTATGCTTCAAAGATACCGATTTGATCTGTCTCATGTCATCCCCCTTAAAGAAGTTAATGTAAGGCAAGACCTAACCTTTGAAGAAGAACTGATTAGAATCATTTCCTATGACATTAAGGAGTTACAAAACAAGAGGATACCATTAGTAAAGGTTTTGTGGAGGAGCCATAGCATTGAGGAGGCGACATGGGAACCCGTGGAAGACATTCAACTTCAGTATTTGCATCTCTTCTATTTAGGTATATTTCGTGGACAAAATTTCTTCTTAGGAGGGGAGAATTGTAACACCCCAAAATACAAGTTAGGAGTTTCGAGTTTATTCGAATGGGCTTTAGAATATTTTCCCTTTAGTATATGAAGTTTTGGACCCAAGTATATTTGATTTGGGCTTGGGATGACCCCAACAAGCTTGAAAATGAATGATTTTAATCGTTTATAAAATGATAGAGGACTAGGGAAGTAATTAACGCAAATTTTGAAACTAAGGATGAATCTAATTTATTTGGGATGATATCACGTCTCCTCTTTTTCTTCCCTCTTTTTGTCTTCTTCATC